CAAGAAGAAGGCCTGGATTGAGGTGGACTGACATCAAAGATGAGATAATGATGAGGTATACACTCTCTGTTTCTAAGTGGATATGCCAGAAAGCAAGACGAATGGCATTTGATTTGGTGATAGAAACACAAAGGCAACAATTTGCAAAGCTATGGGATTATGAGGCTGAACTTAGAGGATACTGGAACCAGGTGAATCAGCAACTAATCCTACAAAGTCTACAAGAGAAGGAAGCACTGTGAGTTGTTCAAACTGTAAGCAGTCAGGGCATAATAAAGGAACATGCAAAAATGCTAGTGTACAAGCAGCAGCTCCACACAAAAGAGGCAGACCAAGGAAATGTCTTGTAAGAGTAATCTGACATTTTGAGTATTGCCTCTTTTGAGTTATGTCTTATTCAGATTTGATCAAGGTATGTCTTATTCATAGGATAATGATGATCCATGGAGCATTAACAATGCTCCAAAGAGGTGGCAGCAAGCTCAAAGCCAGTCCACACCATCTGGTTCTCAAAGTCAGTCCACACAAGTACCTCAACATTCAAGTGCTCCAGCAGCTAATCCAAGTGGTAGGGGACGTGCTCGTGGACGCCCTCCAGGAACTAAGAATGGTGAAGGCAAGGGTCGTGGCAAAGGTGCTGGCAAGGGTCGTGGCAAAGGTGCTGGCAAAGATGAAGCTCCTAGACCGCCTGTTTTCTTTATGTCCCCATGGACTGACAAAGTGTTTGATGTTTGGCAGCCTAGCAAGAAATAGGCTGATCTTATTGATGTCTTTTAGGATCTTTCTGATGTAGGATTAGGATTATGTAGGATGATATGATATGTAGGATGCTGCTTAAGTTGGATGATGATTGTTTTGGTGGGATCCTTGTATGTTTTTGGTGGGATCCTTATGACTAAACGGCTCTTTTTGGCTCTTATGTTGGATACACTTTTTATGAAACTCCCATTAGTTCAAACAAGACTTACAAACTTGTCATGCCACAACAACAACAAAACAAAAAACAACAACAACAACAACACAGAAAACAACAACAATAACACAGAAAACAACAACAACAACAAACAAAACGAAAACTACTTCCCCATTGCAAGTATCATGGCAATTACAACAATGAAGCATCCCCAAGACAACACAATGAACTGCCGAAGCATTTTCTCCCTCTCATTAGCACCCATAACTTCACTTTCAAGCTTTGCCTTCTCTTGTTCGTATCTAATCCCTAAACCACTTTCCAAATTTGTCGAAGCACTGATACCTTGATCATTCTTCGTCTTCACAGATTCTTTAAGCATCTTTATTTCCTCTTTAAGCTGACGAATCTCATCTCTTGCTTCTAATAAGCTCACCTTCTGCCAACCATATGGCTTCTCTTGATCAGCCCAATCGAAGAACCCATGAACACCACATCTGAAGAATCTTCTTCCCGGATTCTCGTTTGTCCATGCTTTAACAATCGTTGTCGCCCTACCACAGTTGCAAAGAGGACCCCAGCTTCTGCTCACCGAATTGGCATCAGACCCAGAACATTGACTCAACATCTCTCTAATTGTTGTGAAAATGGAAGTTTTGATTTAGGGTTCTTGGTCTCATACTCAAATATCGATTTGGGGGAAAGTAACGAGGGCATTATAGTCTTTTAATTAGGCTAATAAACCACGTTTTCTTAACCAGTAAACCCGGTTTAGGGATTCCGTCAGCCGATTAAACGTCTGTTAAGTCGAATGACTTAAACGACCATCAGTAATAAGTTTACGATTTAATTGACAACAATTAATTAACTAAGGTATTTTTAGACCAACGCAAAAGAATTGGGCATTAAACTTCCAAATAAAAATTACTTGGGGTTTTATGGTGAAAGAGTTTGAATCAAAATTTACAGGACATTAAAAGTTACAGGACATCTTATATTTCGGAACGAAGTTATATGGTGAAAGAGTTTGAATCAAAATTTATTAAATTTTAAAATATCATTAACATGCCGCTTTAATACTGATTAAATCTTCAGTTTATTAAAATATAAATGATTTAGAGAATGATATGATTTGTAAACTTTTATACTCCATCTGTTTCACAAAGAGTGTCATTTTAGAGTTTTGCACACAGATTAAGAAAACATTAAATTTTTTGTTTTTTCTAAACAAAAACATCATTAACTATATACCTAAACATAATCTGCCCAATAGTAAAACAATTTGCAGAATACTAATAGTCATAAAACATAAAAAATCATTAAATTTTGCATTGAAAACCTAAAACGACACTCTTTGTGAAACAAAAATAAAACCTTAAAACGACACTCTTTATGAAACGGAGGGAGTAATTATTAAATTTTATAATAAAAAAAATCACGGAACGGGTTAAAAAATTACGGAACGGGTTATATTTTGGAATTGGTTTATATGGCGGACGAATTTGAATCAATATTTATAAGGGAAATACCCCTTTTGGTGTGCCGCGTTTCAAAAATATCCCTTTTAGATGTCTATTTTCGAAAATGCCCCTTTTTAAATCTGAAATTTTTATAAAGTTTTATTAGGTTTATAAGGTACTTATGGATTGTAACTACTACTTGAAGACTCGATCCAAGTATTTATAAGGTTTTATAAGGTGTTTTTAAAGGTTTTAGAAGTTATTTTAAAGGATTTTTAAGGTTTTACAAGATATTTTAAAGGTTTTAAAAGGTATTTTAAATGCATTTATAAGGTATTTATAAAGTATTTATAAGATTTTAGATACATAGAAATGTAGTTTGTGTATGTTTTAATAATATTATATACATATTTGGGTAAATCTTATATTTTTAAGAGCATTTTTTGTAAAGTTTTTTAAAAAGGGTATTTTTGAAAAGTGGCATTGAAAAAGTGGCATTTTTGCAAAAGCCCCTATTTATAAATATCATTAACATGCAACTTTAGTACAAATTAAATCTTCAGTTTATTAACAACTAGATATGGACCCGTGCGTTGCACGGGTTACCGATCAAAATTATCACTTTTAACTTTTATTTTATTTTTGTAAGCATAACTAAAATTATATAAACATATATATATTTTAGATAATGCAGTTTTTAATTATTTTTTAAATATATATTTATAATAAATATTGCGCACTATAAAACTCTATTTGTAGTTATGTTATACTAATTATTAAATCATCTAATATAAATATTGGCCTATTTATAAAATTATATAATTTTTTTGCTTATTATAAGTTATGAATTCATAACTGTTCATAGGTTGTATTATTGAATTTTAATAAGTTATTTATATCCATCGGAAGAGTATATTACACTTTATAATTTCAATGTGGACAAAATGAAAATAAACTATGACAATAAGAAAAGATAAAATTATATAGTTACGTGACATTGTCAATTTTTTGCTGATATTACTCATTTCTTTGTTTTCTCTTTATTTTTTCCTCTCGCCGGCGAGAAATGCTCAAATCTCTCGATTTCTCTTATTAGATTTCTCTTATTTTTGCTTGAACTCCTCTTTCTTTCCCCTTCTCTCCCTCTTTTTTCCTCTATCTACAGTTCTTCCCTTCGTCGAACATCACCACCAAGTCTCACTACTATGACCCACCACCACAAATGAATCACCACCACTATCAATACCGAATCTCGCTAATTTCGATCCACCATCTTCATCAACATTTATCGCCGCCACCACCACCAAGCTTCAACCACCGTCATCAACACTAACACCACTTTTATCGCTTCTTCTCTCTTTCCCCAACTTCTCTTATCACTCCACTTTCTTTATTTTCTCCGACATCAGGCTAAGCTTCTCCGACAACAACTCTATGTCCATCGCCGTTCATAATTCTTAATTTGCCTCCTTTGCCATATATTACTTGGGTATGATTATCACATGCTATTTTTAAAAACCATCGTGATTCACAGTGTTTGTTTTTATAATTGACATTATATATTTAAAACAAATGATAAATGCATATAATTTTTAAATTTTTAAAATCACCCAATCACCACCTCCGTAACCATCATCCACCACCTTCATCACCTCCACAACAATCACATGCTACTCCTATTTCTTTCAGTATGACATGCTATTTTATTTAATAAAATTGTTGGATGTCTCTATTTCGTCGTCAGAATTCTAATATTATTATTTTTTTCTTCAGATTTTTCGTGTTATTAGTATTTATTTTATGTTTTTTTCTCCAAATTAGAATATGCAGTTGTATGTTTGTCTTTTGTTTGAGAGGTATTTTGAATTTTCACATATCTGAAAAACGTTAGTTTCCAAAACTTTTTTAACTCATGGCTATTTTCTTAATTATTTTTGAGTCAAATGTTAGTTACTTATATTAAAGTTAAAACAACAGTGGTGTGTGAAGAAATTAGTTTGCTTGGTGAAAAATATTAGACAACTTATTGTTTATATAAAAGTGATTTTTTACAATCATTTTTCTTATAGGAATGATAACTGATTGTATAATTTCATTAATCATTTTTCTATTTTTTTTGTACAATTAGTAACTTATAAATAAAATGTTTAGCACAATTTTATGATTTCGATTTTTATGGAAAATATACATATAATTTCTTTATATATACGTATAGTTTTCTTACTATGATCTAACTATTTAAATTTATAATTTTGTTATAATTATCTTTTAACAATTTTTAAGTTGTTAAAAACAAAATATTTAGGTTGCTAGATGGCAAAATCTTTTATGGATATATATGTACAATTTTCTTATAATTAGCTTTTTACATTTTTAAACTGTTTACATTGATAATTATCTTTTTACCTTTTTATTAAAAAGGAAAATCTATTTGACACATGGCAAAATCTGAGATCGAAATATTTGACACGTGTTACGATCTCGTGAGTTATTAAGTTTGAAAACCATACTTTATATAATAAGATTGTTTTGTGGTATACCGTTATTTAATAATAATTGTATAATATAAAGAAATATTTTATAAGGAGATGTAAATTAAATGGATGATAAGTAATTAACACTAAGATTTAATAATAGAAGAAAGGGTTTAAGGCTAATAACACAAGACTGCGTCTTCAAGCGATCGATGGCCACAATCTTCTTCTGCTTAAGCTTTCCTTCTCAGGCAGACCCACTTGCTTGAAACTAGCTCGGTGCGATAACGACAAAATTCGCCACCATAAACCCTATTTTTAATCTCCGACTCTGTGGACACTTCTCCTTCAAGCTGGGTAGATTAAGTTCGCTTATGGCCATGGGGGTTTCTCTTACTTCCCACAATAACCCTCTTCTTCGCCACTTATCTCCTTCCTCTTCTTGGGTTTCTCGTTCCTCCTCTCGCTTCTCTTCTTCTCCACTCCCTTCCTTCCTCTTTCCTTGCCGTAGAACCCTTCTTCAAAGGTTTGCACTTTTTTCATCTTTCATTGTTTTTAGTTAATGGGTTCGTTGAGACTACACTATGTTCAACTTTACTTGACTTTCACTTAATTTGCTCTGTTGTGTACTCAATTTTACTTGTTTATTGACTAATTTGCTCTGCTCCAGCGTCAATTTTACTTGATTATCGATTAAGCTGCTCTGTTCTAGGCTCAGTTTTACTTTATTGTGGATTAATTTGCTCTGTTCTAAGCAGCTCATTTTGTTCTCGAGTATCGGATTAAGCTGCTTTGTTTTAGGCTCAGTTTGTTTGTTTTTGCAAGCTCTGATTGTGACTGCTTATGGATTTCTTCAGGAAATTATCTTCCACAGAGGGAAATGTCGGTTATTCGACTACTACAGTTTGTCAGGGATTTCAGCATCCGGGTCATCAACGGTCATCTTCTGTTGTGCTTAACGGAGAGTGGGAACTTCGATCCGAATCCAACAAGGTAAGGATGGTTCCTAAGATAATCAAGGTGGGAAATCAGACGGAAGTTGCTGAAACTCATCAAGTTCCTGGAACTGTAAGTGCTTGGAGGGAAGAAGCAAATAAGCTTAGAGAAAGAAATGGTCAGATTGCTAGAAACCTCGATGACAGTGGTTATTTCAATGGCTCTGTCCCAATTATATCTAGTGCTCCGTCTTATGAAACCTCTCAGAAGATTGATTATGAGTTCAAACCCAGAGGTAACACTACTGCTACACTCAATAAGGAATTGATTGGCGTTACCCAATCTGAACCTGTTGTGTCATTGCCAAGCAAGAGTTTAGATGTTGGGGATAATATGGATGTAAATCCTAGTGGAGAGGGAAAACGGAGACCTCTTATAAGCGGGAAGTCTTCTGGCACCGCAAACAGCAACAGGAATACAGTTGCCATTTCCAAAGTGGAGAAAAGCACTGAACCTTCCAATGTCCGTGAAAACCTTAGGAAAATATATGACAAGGTTCTCGTTGTTGATAATGTGCAAGCTGCGAAAGATACCGTGGCTAAGCTCGTGAATCAGTATAGGAATCATGTCCATTCTTGTGATACAGAGGTGTGCTACATTTTTCTATTTAAGTTGTCATCCCTAAAGCTCAGAAATATTTATACAATTGGCAAACTGATTATTCAATGCTTATAGGTGTCCGGGATTGAGGTGAAGGAAGAAACGCCTGTCGACCACGGTGAATTAATATGTTTCAGTATTTACTGTGGGCCAGAAGCAGATTTTGGGTATGGAAAATCGTGCATCTGGGTTGATGTTCTTGGTGAAAATGGCAGGGAGGTGTTGGCCGAGTTTAAACCGTATTTTGAAGACTCGTTCATCAGAAAAGTAAGTTTTAAATCTTTCCCTTTCTTAATGTAAACTACACCTTGATTGTTTCTACATATTCCGTGACATTTTCATTTTCTGAGTCCTTCTAAATCTTATTCCACTTTCTTGTTGTCTGTTTTACTGTGAACACTTTTAGCTATCCATAAACCCTTATAGGTTGGCTTTCTTCGTTTCAGGTCTGGCACAACTACAGTTTCGATAGCCACATCATTAGGAACCATGGAATTGAGATTTCTGGTTTTCATGCCGACACTATGCACATGGCACGATTATGGGATTCTGCACGACGGATAGAGGGTGGTTATTCGCTTGAAGCGCTTACAAGTGACCCAAAAGTTCTTGGGGGCACACAGACGAAGGAGGAAGCTGATTTCCTTGGTAAAATTTCGATGAAGACTATTTTTGGCAAACGGAAACTGAAAAAAGATGGATCTGAAGGGAAAATGGTTGTCATTCCCCCTGTCGAAGAGCTTCAGCGAGAAGATCGAGAGGCTTGGATTTCATATTCTGCCTTGGATGCGATAAGCACACTAAAGCTTTACGAGAGCATGACAAAGAAACTGCAAATGATGGATTGGCGTCTTGATGGAAAGCCAGTTTTAGAAAGGACAATGTTGGATTTTTACCATGAGTTCTGGCGACCCTTTGGTGAACTTCTTGTAAAAATGGAAGCAGAAGGGATACTTGTAGATAGAGAGTATCTTGCTGAGATAGAGAAAGTAGCCAAAGCCGAACAACAAGTTGCTGGTAGTAGGTTTCGTAATTGGGCATCTAAGTATTGCCCCGATGCAAAGTATATGAATATTGGCAGTGACACACAATTGCGTCAGCTCTTTTTTGGTGGCATTTCCAACAGGTAGCTTTCTTCTACGTCATCCTTAAATTTCTGCTTAGTATAGGTTTAAATTAAGTTTATCGTAGGGAAAATAGTCACACCTTGGTATCTTAGAGGTTCTTTCATAGTTACAGAGATTTGAGCTTATAATCCTCTTATATCAAAAGTTGTTGAAGACTGTCTTTTTTTCTCTTGGTTTAACCAGAACTGCATACATATCTCCCGGAATAACTTTGAGAAGAAATGTCTTTCCCATCAAGTCATTAACAAGAATTACATGATTTATCTGTCAGTGCTTAGCTTTATGGATTAACTTCTGTTTGCTTCTTCCTCAGTGTGAATGGCGAGGTGCTTCCAGTTGAAAAGCTCTTCAAAATTCCCAATATTGATAAGGTTATTGAAGTAGGCAAAAAAACAGCGACGAAGTTTCGAAACATCAAACTGCATAGGATAAGTGACAGCCCACTGTCAACTGAAAATTTAACTGCCAGTGGTTGGCCCTCTATAAGTGGGGATGTTTTGAAAGAGTTAGCTGGGAAAGTTTCCGCTGAATACGACTTTATGGAAGATGTTTCAGATATTTCTCTGGAAGAAGTTGCTGAGGATAATGATGCAGATCAAACTTCAAAAACACAAAAGTCCAAGACAGATGTTCAAACCGACACATCCGCTTATGGAATAGCATATGTTGCCTTCGGAGGGGGTGAAAGGGGAAAGGAGGCATGTCATGCTATTGCGTCATTATGTGAAGTTTGCTCAATAGATGCTTTAATCTCAAATTTCATTCTTCCCTTACAGGTAATGTTTTATCTTGACACCTTCTTCCTGAATTCTAAGCTGCTTTATTTCTTCCCCTTAAGGTTGATGTTTATGGAAATTTTTTTTCTGACAGGGAAGTAATGTATCAGGCAAAGATGGTCGCGTCCATTGCTCCCTGAATATCAATACAGAAACTGGGCGCTTATCAGCTAGAAGGCCAAATTTGCAGGTATATATCGAAAAGATTTGTGATATTGTTCAAATCAAAGTCGTTTCAACATTTGAGTGGTGAGGCCATTATGTAGACAAGTTCCTCTTGTTATCTACTGGTATTGTTAAAGTGACACAGTTTGATTTGAATTGTGATGTGTTACCAAGAGCTAGTACATAATATCATTTTAAATGGTCAAGTTATTTTTGTCAACTATGAATATACTACTTATGCTCTTGTAATTGCATCTACGATTTGTTACTAAAGTTCTCCTTATCTGTCTAGAACCAACCTGCTTTGGAGAAGGATCGGTACAAGATTCGTAAGGCCTTTGTAGCATCACCTGGAAATACACTCGTTGTGGCTGATTATGGGCAGGTGAAAATATAAAACTCTGGTAGTTGTAGAAACTTTCAAAATGGTATTAAGCTGGTTCACTTGTTTACTGCGATTCTTTTCTATCTTCAGTTGGAACTTAGAATTCTGGCACATCTTACTGGTTGTAAAAGCATGATGGAAGCTTTTAAAGCAGGCGGAGATTTCCACTCAAGGACAGCCATGAATATGTATCCACATATTCGTGAAGCTGTAGAAAATGGGCAAGTGATCCTTGAATGGCATCCACAACCTGGGGAAGACAAGCCACCCGTGCCGTTGTTAAAGGTGCGCTCTTGTTTAAAATGGTACCACAATTCTTGGATTTTGATTCTTATATGACAATGAGGAAATAATTTGAATAGCTGAAAAAACAATTGACATCTCTACTCGATGATTAAAGCACATCGTTGACACAAAGAACCTAAATCTGTGCCCAAATACTTCTAACAGTTTGCGAATATGTTTAATACTCAGGATGCCTTTGGCTCAGAGAGAAGAAAAGCCAAGATGCTTAACTTTTCAATTGCGTATGGGAAAACCGCGATCGGGCTTTCTAGAGATTGGAAGGTAGTGGAAAAATACTATTGAAACTGTTAGGTTGATATAAACATGCTTTAATGTGATGAGTCTAAAACATTGTTCAATTTTTTATCATCTAAAGGTCTCAGTTGAAGAGGCTCAGGACACAGTCAAACTCTGGTACAATGACAGGCAAGAAGTAAGGAAATGGCAAGAAAGGCGTAAGAAAGAAGCTATAGAAGATGGGTATGTACGCACTTTACTAGGAAGGTCTCGTAGATTTCCGAGGTATAAGTCACGTGCGCAGAAGAATCATATCCAAAGAGCAGCAATCAACACTCCAGTCCAGGTTTTCATTTTGTTTGTTTACTTTATCATAACACTAATATTTCCTTTCTATTCTCCAATCTCAACTCTGAGCATCGATGATCCACACTACAGGGAAGTGCAGCTGATGTTGCCATGTGTGCAATGTTGGAAATATCGACAAATCAACAGTTGAAGAAGCTTGGTTGGAGATTGCTTCTACAGGTAAACAACAACACCCGTCCAAAACTGGACGCAGTCTATGACAAATATAAGCTTTTAATTTTGTAACATTTTGGTCTCTATTGGATTAACAAAAAGAACTTGCCTTGGAAACAGATTCATGATGAAGTAATCTTGGAAGGGCCAATTGAATCAGCGGAGATCGCCAAGGACATAGTTGTGGACTGTATGTCTAAACCCTTTAACGGAAGGAATATTCTCTCTGTCGATTTATCTGTTGATGCAAAATGTGCTCAGAACTGGTATGCTGCCAAATAGAAGCCTAGAGACCAGTCGTAGAAGAACAGTTGAAGGAAGAGATTTTTTGGGTGTATTAATGTTTGGTTTTGTCGGCTCTTATTTTTGTAAATTTTAGAAAGGCTTGAGAACATTGAGCTGTGTAAATTGTTTTATCAACTCTAATCCTCTAACTTGACGATGTTTGAATGCAAATGTGGTTTAAGTAACTTAAGAACAATCATGATATTAATGTTGTGGATGGCTTTGTGTAAAATGAAAAGAATTTGAATAGATTTCTTATGCAGCAAGTAAAATAGATTTACACAAAATTAATGAAAAATTAGGTGTTCTTTTCTTTCTTATGTATTGATTCTTTTTCAGTGAGCGTATATATGCATATGATTTTAACTTAATTTCCTATGTTCACGTCATCTTTTCCCGATCTTTTAATACCCATGAGTCCATGACAAGCTCATTATATGCGACCATCGGATAATCTCTGTGGCATTTAAATCTAGCCAAACTGTTTTCAACTACGTACGTTTATACTAGGAGTCTAGGCCATAGGATCATTGATTCGGAGAGAAATACATTATCGTTGTATACATGTATGACCCGTGAGCAGAGCCGGACCAAAGAAATTTAGGACCCATACGGATTAAGGAAAAAAATAGCATCGTAATTTTTTTTGGTTCAAAAGCATCATAAAAAAAAAAACTAGAATAAAAACAATCACTTTAAGCAAAAATCTTTGATTGTTTTAGAAAATTTTAAAGTAAAAACTTACTTTTTTTAATCATTCAATTATATATAATAATTATAAAAAAAATTTAGATACATATAATATATATATATAAATTTATATATATATATATATATATATATATATATATATAAATATAGGTTCTACATCAGATTTCGTATCATCCAACTATTTATACATAATTTTCAAATCATTCTAAACCTTATATATTTTTATAGAATCGAGCCTACGAATATATGTTTTGTTTTTGATGTAAATTTTCACGACTTTTTTTCAAATCGAATTGCCAATAGAAAAATAAAAAGCATATAGCGAAACATAAATTAACTTAAAATATCAAGTGCAAATAAATATGAAAAGCGAAACATAAATGTTGAAAAAAACATAATAATAAAATTTTTGACTACTACTACATAGTAGCAAACTCATCCTTGTTATTTAGGCTTCTTAAGAACACATACACCACCTTTGCATGAACCTTTCTTTGAAGATGGCTTTGTGAAACAACTAAAAAGCTTGGAGAAGAAACCCATCTTTCTTGAAATCTGAAAACAATATTGAGGCTAATGGACTTTTTAAGGATCTTTGCGTGGTATGTACTTCTATTAGACTACTTGCATACCCACATATATATAACAACAATGTCATAAATTACTTGGTAATAAAGTTTCATTTTATCTTAAATGTATTGAGAGATCGATGAGATCGAACGGTCTAGATGACTAACCGAGATTATGAATATCATGAAGATATGGTTATATAGAAGAATCAAGAAGGATCCTAAAGAATGTCAATATATATGTTAACTTAGCAAATTTTCTACTATTGCCTAAATGTATAATTTACACTAGGTCAGAGCCCGCGGTGCCACCGCGGGAGAACGTATTCGTTAACAATTATTTTTGATTTGAACATCATTCAAAAAGTGTACCATATGTTTGAATGCTTCGACCTCTGGTATGGGAGGATTTATCCGAACTTGTGAAAATTCCGAAGCATTGGTGATGATTATAGAATCTAAAATTTACATAGTAATGAACAATTAATCTTGTATTTTCGCTTTACAAAATTGAAAAACAGTTCTTTAACATGGAAAGGCAATTATAAAATACCTTCGTGTTTTATGAATTTTGCAAACCTAATCACGCAGACAATAGGAACATGGACATACTCTTTAGAGGATTTGAGAACGTGCTCCGCAAATGAATTCCACAAAACACATTCCAAAATCTGACCACTATAAAAATAGAATGATTAGAATACCAAAAGCTGGGATAAATGAATATTTTTGTACTCACAATATTAGCAAGATAATATAACTAATTTAATAGATCATGCAGGAGGGTACCTAACATCACGTAGTAAAAAAAATTCTTTTGTAGATTGTTGGAATCTTCTATTTGTTCCAATTCACCAATGTTTACAATTTGTCCCATAATATCTAAAAGTTGATTGCTAAAGCTTTGTGTTTAGACGTATGGTGTGATCATATATTTATAGTCGAATACAATTGTAGGGTTTAAACCAAGAATATTCGTCAAAGGATATTCAACGGCGACATTGTAGGGTTGTTTTGATTGACGAAATAATTAAAAAAGGAAGTAACATGTCAAGAAAATATATGATTAACTAAACAATATAATTCGTTTCTGTATTGTGAAGATTTTTTTAAGATTGTACTTGCGATATTAATAAGATAAGATCGCAAGGATTAATTTTGCATAATCTTATTTCCAAAAATTAGTTGAACGCAATTCTCGTTATTGTTAGGTAACTAATTAGTGCTTTTAGCATAATTAATGTTTTAGTGTCGACGAATATATATGGAAATCTTGAAGATCCGATTACTATATATTTTAAAATTTTGTATTTCGTTCTAATCTTATTGTTAGGTAATTAGTTAGTGCTTTTAGCGACAATAATGACGAAATATATATGGAAATCCGATTAATGTTTTATAATTATGCTTGCAAAGATCCGTTTAGGATGTTTCCGGGTCAATTTTAATTTTTTTTTCAATTGTAACCCGACCCAAGTACAAATGTACTTCTCTTTTAATAGTATAGAGATTTTTATTTTAAATTACAAAACTTAGGTCGATCATATTTAATAAGATGACGTAAGCAGCACAAAACAGTGGGTTGCTATTGGTATGACTTCTAGTTTTCCTAATAAGTAATAACAATATAAAATATTTATGAATAAAAAATGTAGAGCCAGGAATCGAATAAAGTCAATGTGGTTTTTGTATATATTTCTTTGTTACTAAATAAGAAATTTAACTATTTAGTAAAAAGAAAATATACACAAATATTAACTTTTTTTTTTTTGGTGAGCGAGAGGGAGGCAATGTCTCCCCCGATTTATTAATTTAAATAAAAGACTTACAACCGAACATAACGTGGAAGTTCCGTCCCATGAACATCCTCCAACAAAATATCGTGGATAACATCAGGACATGAATCAAGAAAAAGAAAGCCTAACTCTAACGTGAACGCATAGTTGCTAATCCGTCAACAAGACGATTAGCCTCCCTATACACATGAGTAAAAAACCATGACACAAACGCACCATGAAAGATAGCGGATGAGCATCGCTGACTCCCATCTTGATAAAACCTACCACCAACTCTGAGTCCACCTCCAACTCCACCCGTCTAAAACCCCGCTCCCAGGCAATAACCAGGCCATAATACACTCCCCACAACTTTGCCAACGGTGCTGAACATACCCCGATATTCAATGCGAAGCCACCTAGCCATTCCCCCGCCATACCTCGGATCACTCCCCCGGCCGTTGACGGGCCTGGATTACCGTGAGAAGCGCCGTCTGTTGATAGCTTCACCCATCCCTCCGGTGGTTTCTTCCACCCTACCATCCGTTCAACCCGAGTCCCCGATCTTGTGTTTCCTCGAGCCAACACATGAGACCTTGTTACTTCGTCCGCCAACTCCCTTAAAAAGCGAACACGATCTCTACACTTCCCGGTCTCACCAAACACATTCCCACACCGCCACTTCCATCCCCACCAAACCGCCGTACTAAACAAAGTAGACCACTCCACTTCACCTACCTTCCTGCCACTGCCCAAGTTCTCCTTTAACCACTCCAATAAAGTCAAAGTAAAGAAAGCTTGCCTCCTGGTTGGTGGAACTAGCCGTACCCAAACTCCTGACATCGCGGGACAATCCCGCAAAACATGTAAACTCGACTCAACCGCCCCTTTACACACCTGACAAACCTCCGAGTCTCCCAAATGACGGCGTACTCTCTCCACATTCGTCATAATCACTTGATTTGCCACCAACCATAAAAACACCCGCACCCTCTCCGGTGCCACCACTGTCCAAATCTCCTTGTAAAACCTCTCCATACATGGTCCTGGTGCCTCCTCCTTAGTGATGATAGCATAGGCTGAACTTACACTAAAAGCCCCGTTTGAGTTTCCTAGCCAAGACACCCGATCTTTAATACCAATCTCTCCATTCACCACCACCGCCATCAACCTATGTATAACAATTACAGGTAGGTATAACCCCAACCTCGCTATATCCCACCCGACTCCCACGCACCAATAATCACTCACCTTTCTTCCCCGCTCTTCCTCCGGTAAAGGAACCACAACCCTCTCTACCAACATATCCGGTAGCAGCCATTTATCCAACCAAAACCGTATTGTCCGTCCATCCCCTAGTACCCAAGCCAACCCTCTCGCCACAACTTCCCTTAGACCAACTCCCACACTCCTCTAGGTTGACGACCAATGACTCTTCGGGACAACCCATGTATGGTCCTGAGCAGCACCCACTTTATACTTACTCCGCAATACCCTGGCCCATAGGCTTGTCTCATCATTCAGTAACCTCCAGCCCACCTTTGCAATAAGCGCTTTATTCATAAGCCTAGCTCCTCTAATCCCCAACCCTCATTCAGCTTTTAGGTCGACACACCTTTTTCGAAGAGAGCAAATGCATCTTCTTCTTTTCCGGCTTACCACCCCATAAAAACGTTCTTGACATCTTATCCAACCGGTCCAACATTGCCGCCGGTAAGATAATAGAGCTCATAGTATGAATCGGGATCGAGGATAATACCGCTTTCGTAAGAGTAATCCTCCCTGCAAAGCTCAGCGTCTGACTTTTCCACCCTGCCAAACGAGATGCTACTCTCTCCAAAACCTCCCCATACGTCTCCTTATTAATCCGCTTCTGTAAAATTGGCATACCCAAATACTTGCCCAGCTCCCTCGTCGACTCAATGCCACTCTCCGCACTGATCAGTCTCTCCAACTCTCGACTAACGTTATTGGAGAAAAAAATCTTTGACTTCTCCAGACTTACTTTCTGCCCCGATGCTAAACAGAACTTCTCTAGAACTTTCCGGATCACTCTAACCTGTGCCACAGATGCTTCCGCAAATAAAATGAGATCATCTGCAAAACAAATATGAGACAGTTTCGGTCCTCCTTGTGACAAACTGATCGGCTTCCAGAGCTTCCGACCCACAGAATCCTCAATTAAGTGACATAACC